CCCCCCCCCCCCCCCCGGCCGTCGTGGTAGATGCGTAGCTCCCAGCGCGCGCCAAGTCTTCCCCGCATTGAGAAATCCCCGTCGATTCGGAGCAACCTCAGGTGACGCAATCATTGCCCCTTGAACCCACCCTGCCACGCGTGCCCCGTGGTTTTTGATTCGGGTCACAATGGCGACAACACCCCATCCCCCACCCTTCTGCTACCCCCTTCGCTACAACTTCTTTGTGCTTTACTCTTTTACCAGGCCTCTCTAGGGCGGAGAAAATCATTTCCTAATCGATTGCCTGAAACACATTTCGCATTTTCGTGATCGACAATCATTCTGCCGTGCTCAGCAAGAACGCCGTATTAGCCTTGAGGTGTTGCCCAGTTTCTTCCGAGAAAAAACGAATTTACTGGACTAATTGTGCACATTATTTTTCAAAATTTTCAGACAATTTTGGAGGCGATTTAGTCTAAAATATCTGAAAATTTAAAGGATAAATATGCTTAAATGTTGTCAAAAATACATGTTTTATCCAGGGAAATTTAGCAACTCTCTAATGTTCATTCGACGTTCTTCCTTAGCACAGCAGTATTCCAATCCGTTTATGCTGCCGATTGTTGAAATTGATATTCAAAGCAATAGACAAAGAAGACATATAGGGAGTATGAAGCGATCCTATCGGCCAAAGTGGTTGGTTCCTCTTGACTAAGGGAAGAAATGATGGACTAACTACAGGGTCTCTCATGGGTTGCTGTTCGTTAGTCTATTACTTACCCCCTTCGTCCATTACAACCACCCGCTTCCACCAATCGGATCCCTCCATATCTCTCATGTCTTCTTTGTCTATAGCTTTGTCTATTAATTTCAACAATCAACCCGCTGACATGAGGATGTATAAGTACACTTGGCGATGAACCTTGTCTTCTATGAACTTCAACGCTATTCCGGGTTCATCTCTAAAAGCAGTTTACGCCCTACTGTCCGCCAAGCGACGAAACATGCATTGTAGAAATGCTCCGAGTGCAATCCGAAATGCATTTCTCTGCGAAGCCTTCTTTTCCAAATTATTTCCCGGTGAAATATTTACGGAATCGGATTTCGACTTTAATCCTTTAAAAGGTCTTCAATCAGAGGTTAAGGAAGCTAATTAAAACGTAGAGAATTGATTCCCGCAAAGAAGTACGAAGAAAACGCAGAGAATTCAGCCGCAAGACAAGGAAAACATGCATAAACTGCGAGATTCGTGCCTAAGTACTTCAAATCTCTTTATATTGCAAATTAGATTCCGGTGTTGCGATACTGTAGTCCTAAGTCTGAATCTCTCACGAGCGATGTTGCAATTCTGTTTTTGTATCATAATTCTTTGTTTATTCTTCGTGGGTCTATCATCATTTCCGAGTTTAAAGCAAACGTGGAAATTGCTGGGTTTTGATTTGAAGAAAAGAAATTATAAGTTTGCGTTCATCAACGAAAAATCCTCTAGTTTTTTATTGATTTTTCGGCAGTAGAATATAATAAACTGATCTAACTTAAAATCACCCAGCTTATCATTCTTGAAAGTTTGATTCGATTCTTTGGTGACAAACTCAGCCCGGTTGCAATAAATCACTTCTCTTTCGTTCAGAAAAAATAATAGCAGCCGCTTTTCCCCAATCCGTATTCGCATCCAAAAATCCGATCAATGTTTGTCGGCACGTTTACGATTTTGAAGTTTCTAGCGAGGAATCCCCGAAAATCGAAACACCTCACGAACGCAGCCCGTTAAGTCAATAACACTCTTTTTATACAGTGGTAGGTCGCTCTCGTCCGATGATCTGACCCCTCCCCTCCTCCGTCGGCCCCGAATATTTCGAATAACCTCATCGTCGTGTGATTCTGGCACCTCTCCGGAATCGAAAACCGTTCAGGCGCACAGAGGAACGAGGCAGTGGGTAAAGTTGGACAAATTTGGAAACTTTAAAAGCTCATAACTCCGTCATTCAGTGCTGTCATTTCCCGGAATTAATTCCAAAATTCGGAACTTTTTCCGGAATCTTTTGAATCCCCGGAATTTCGGGCTATTTTCGGAATTTCCTCAAAATTTGCGGTTTTTCGCCAGTTTGAGCGTTTAGTTGATCAAATTTAGGGACTTTCTGATCAAACTTGATGATCTTCGGAAGTAAATTCGGGCGTATTTCGGAATTTCCCCCCGGAATTTTTCAAAAAATCGAAATTTTTCTCGGAATCTTTCGATAAAATAAAATGGCAGCACTGTCATCATTACAAAACGTAGAGATTTTAAAAGTGGTCCCGTTGGTTTTCCCGTAACACGTACTTCACAAAGCACCCCGCAAACTTTAATTTGACGTGTTAAACATCCAAATTTCGCAGCCTTATTCGTAAAAAAATTCATGTCCAACCTCCTCCATCCACTTGATCCACTGTGTGGCGTTCGCTCGTTCCCGTTCCGCGGACCGGAGTCAGGAGCCGATTTTCGGGGGTTGTTTATTTTAAGTATTTACTTTACATAAAAATACTCCCCCACCCCCGACCCCCGCAGGTACCCCAGCATCGTGATTAATGTTGAGCAGTCGGAGGACGCGCCGAGGGGAGCGGATTGAATGGATTATGAAAAATGGATTTCCAGGCGGGCGATACCTGTAAGGAGCACGGGGACCGTCTCCTACCGTATGCCACGTTGTCAAATCGTTCCAAAAAATCCTCGGGAAAGCACGTACACACAGGATTTTGGTGGAATATTAGGCAACCGCGTGTCCAGCGGATGCCTGTCCCTAGGCTCAGCTCCCTAATAACTCCCGCGACAATATTTTTTAAGATCAGATTCCAGATTACAGACCCCGGCCATTGTGCCTTCGATGCAGTCAGTTTTATTTTTATTTATTTTTTATTATCGTCGGGATGCTTTGTTGTCGTTTGAAAGGGCATTCCCACCAGGCTCAAAATGACAAAGCAATCAGGTCCTATTCGGGTAATCCTCGCCCCTCTCACTCCCGCGGCGGGGAGGGGGGAGGGGTGGATTTAGAAATCATAATAACCTATGTCGCTGCCACTCCTTCGGCTTAGCGTTCCCTTTTGAGGGCTAGACAGAACGCACGCGCTGTGGAAAATGCAAACGACTAATTATTTTCTACGGAACGGCGTGGAAAAACAGTTCAGCCTCGCTTTGTTGCAGTAGAAGCTGAGTTTCTTTTTTTCCTGAGTATGACACCAGAATTCATAATTATGTCGCAGGCAAATAATGAAATCTTAAATGTCTTGTATGCTTTTCAACAAACTGAAATTTTGAATGTTCTCAGTTGCTTTAGCCGCTGTAATTATATCCATGAAAATGTGTCAGTTTTTTCGTACCATTAAGATCAATTTCTCTTTTGTTTCAGGAACGTCGTATACAATATCACTATAGGCAGCATGACAGAAAATTTGAACCAGGTAAAATTTTCATTTTTCATTTCCAAAATTTTGAGAACTGTTTGTTTAGACGCAGGTTTTCTTTGGATTGTCCTTTCCTTTTTTCTTAAGCCTAGGCTAATGACCGAAAGTCATGTAACAAGAAAACATTAGCACCGCTGCTAATGCGCGTTAGCATGAAGTTGTATCAGAGCACAGAGAGGCGAAATGCGGAAGCAAATGTCTCAAATCTACGTCGCCAAATTTCAGACGAATCCTTGAACTGTATTTGTTCCGTACCAACATTAGTGAGTCGTTGGTCTTGAAATTTGACGAGCATGCCTGTAACCAAGTGAGAGGAAAAAATCGCGTCGAAGTAAAGTAAGATTAAGTGAATTGCATGAGAGAAATCAGTGAACGGGCAATGATATTTTAATAGTTGAGCTCTTTTACTTCTCTGCTCGTAATAGTCTTGTCCGAATTTCGCTCATAAGTCAGCGCGTAGTGTACCTGTAGGTCCACCGTGAGGTCGTCACCAATTGGATGTTCGCTGACTTTCTTTGAACAGACCCATTAGGACTGTTTGCACGCTACAGTCGTATTAGATTGCTGTAAATAGCGATTCGCATTGAAAACCTCTCAAATGTTTTATATCCCAATAGCGTGATTTCTAAGTTACGCTGTAAAAATCGTAAAAGACAGTTTGGTACAAGTTTTTGTGCGTATTTATTTATTTTTTTTCATGAGAAAGATCATCCAAGTCTACCTAGTATTCCATTCCTCTCCAAAGTCCTGTTTCGGAGCTTTTAAGATTGATATTATTATTCGTTATTCATAAATTTTAGCTTGAAAAACTGAAAATCAATCCCTCTCCCCCCCCCCCCCAAAAAACACGCATCACTAACAGTAATTTTTCTTTCAACATTCCTCCAATTTGTCAACGCTCCAAGAGGAAAATTTACACAGAATTCAAGGTGGTATTGATGTTTCTTTAAAAAAACTAACCATAAAAAAGGCATTTAAACGGCGACATAACGTTTTCGCAGGTCCTGATTTGAATTCACTATTTCCGGAACGTCTTCCTGAGGCTATCAGTTGACCAGGAGAAAGTAGGAAAACTGAGGAAATAGTATTTTGAACTTTCTTTTCTCCCCCAAGAAATCGTCTCTAATGCTTTTTATCACCCATGGCCAAATCTTTTCGCTACGGACATTTAATCTCAACAGTACTCTACGTCTCACAACAAAGGCTTAGACGAGGCTTAGCGCTAACTTAGTCGCACCAAGACATGATGCTTTATGTTTCCTCAGGGCCTTGCTGGTCTTTAAGTGGACAGCGCAATTGCGTCCAACAACACAACCGAGAGTTGTTTAATGTATGAAGTCATCGTCCCAGGCGGGAGCTATGAATATTTTGAAACAAGCGTGGTCTTTTCATGTGCATGATTCTATCTACAGCAAAATTTTTATCATACTCCAACGCCCATCTTCCCATCACTGAGGATTGTTTGCAAATTTAGTTGCGGCAGTGCGACCTATATTTTTCAACCTGAAAACTTCCTCTATCAACGTGAATATCTAATGTGGGAGAAAATGTGATGATGCAGTTTTCAAATGATGCAAAATTAGAATATCAGTATAGAAACATTTAGCTCCATTTTTGCACGTGGCGTTTTTGCTAATTCTTATTTTTTTCTGATTTTACAGAGGATACAATGGGTTCCCACTGGTGCTCACAGAGAACTCTGTCTGCTGAAAGGAAAATCTGAGGTGAGACTTTTTATTTATGCAAATTCAATTAACGGAGATCTTTCTTAATTCCTTTGTTTCAACCGATAAGGCGTTCTATGCAAGAACCTATTTTTGCATAACCATGGATCTTCATGTCGGGATTTGAACGCGATCACCTCATATCAGTTGAATGCCCACTCAGTGAATTTTTTTTTTTTTAATACGGTAGACGGTGTTATTGAACTGTTAATTCAGTGCTTTTCCAACGTATATTTTCGTATCGTATAATAATTAAAATTGATTACTGGTCTTCAGTTCACCCCAGTTTTTTTACTGGTCTTAAATTTACTCTAGTTTTCATAATATCTAGAAATCGGGAGCGTAGGGAATAGAATCATGAGGAGTAATGATTTCATTTTATAGCTCCTATGTAACCACCCCTCTGAACGCATCACCTTTATCAGGTTTTCAAAATCTTTCCCGAAAGTTCAAGCACCATTTTTATAAACAACTCAATTTACCTTCTGTTTTCATTTTTCAGGATCAATGCCACAATTACATTCGAGTCGGTGCCAAATTGAGCGATTCTGAATTACAAGTGTGCGGAACGAACGCGTACCGGCCATCATGCAGAGTTTACAAGCTCAGCGTAAGTATCGATACTTGTCAATTCTGTATAATTTTCTCAGAGGCAAGACAGAAGAATTGATACCAAGTTATTCTCTTGTTGTTTCCGAACAGAAATTACTCTCACGTTTTCAAAGTTCACCCTCTGACTTTGATTACTATTGGTACTTAGGTGTTTTTCAAGTTTTCACACTAAGATTAGTCTTACTTGAAATCATTAATATCTCAATTTTTTCCAAAAACTATTCTTAAGCGCTCTGTCCTCTTAAGCCCCTCAATTCAGCGCGGGGGTTAAACCTCCTAGTCAACCAAAAGTCAGAAACATAATTTTCTCCCGGAATTCAAATTAAGAAAGCTTGTCTATGTAAGGTGATACAAACGCCAAAACTTTTCATTAGCAGAAGGGTTACCATTGCTTTTATAGTCTTTTTGTCAAGATATTTTGATAGGCTACTACCTTCCAAAGCTGGTATTATAAACTCTGACCAGTTTAATCATTCTTCTCAGTCAGTCTGATCTGGTTTTTTCTACTCTGTGTTCAAGCTCTGCTGAGCGTCACACACGGTTTCTCGATCATCAGTGGGTGCATCCTCTTCAAAATCCAGTGCAAAAATTTGCTAGTGGTCTAATTTCATCGCGCAAATGACTGTGTCCATGTGTTTTTTTACCATCCTGTTCATCCATGTCTGTTTATTTGTGCTTGTCATTCTATTCATAAAATTATTTTGACTTTATCGTCGTTGCAGGACGTTGGAGTACAACTGAAAGAAAAAGAGATGGAGGGCCATGGAAGATGCCCGTACGACCCCAGCCATAATAGTACATTCCTTTATCAAGGTAAGGATCTTTGTTTGAACTTTAGTATTTTCATTGGTAAAGAATTAAAAACTCACCAAAAATGAGTTGTAGAATATTCAAGAGCCTTGCAAATCATATGTTCCAATCATGAAACATGAAAATCATAGGAAAAATTAACTCAAAGACTAGAGTAACACATTGCAAGATAATATCGAACCTCCAGAGATGAAATCTTTATTCTAAGTGTAGCGGTTTTCCAACCTTTTTAGCAATTATTTCCAACTTATTTTGGCTAAAATTGGGCTCAGGTATGCTCAGGAAAATAATTGCCTGTTCAAAAATTCATTTGACTCCATTATTTTTGTTGAAGAAATTTCATTTGGCTCTATGATGGTTTCAAAACAAAAATTATTAAAATCCCAATCAAAGGTTGGTCTCGCCAGTGTGGCATCTTTTTGTGCTTCCTTAAAACAAGAGAAGGAGACGCAAACTGAGACTACACCGTTGAAAATTAGCCACTGATCTCAATCAAAGATTACTTTGAAACGAGAATTTGAGAGGTGTGACTTGTGCAAAGTATAGATGAAACCTTATTTTGAGATTCTTTTCCATGCATAAACTTAATTTACTATGGTTTTACAGATGGTCAATTGTACACCGCCACTGTTGCTGATTTCTCTGGTGGAGATCCTCTCATCTATAAAGAACCTTTGCGGACGGAGCGTTCTGATCTCAAGCAATTGAATGGTATGTCCTCTCCCTCCAATATTTTTTTCGAATTATGTTGGAAAGTTTTAATTTTTTTAATTAAACCTTTCAATCCAATGAAATTTTTTGCAATTATACTTGTCCAACTATGTACTTTGTTTGAAGGTAGATGAGCTTATTAAGCTGTGTATCTTCTGTTAATATTTCTTCTTTGAGAGATGCAAAATAATTTAAGTTCGTAATTAAATATATTAATAATGTTAATAATAAAATTGGGAAATATCACAATTCTCATAGACTGAAAGCTACTGATATTTTGTCATGGTACAAGTTTAATGGTGATAAAATTGAGAATCCGTCTCAGAAGGCAATTTGGGAGCTCTTAGGTGCGGAATTTATTTTTCTTACTTCCATATACAATTTTACCCATCATCTTTTTTCTGATGATTTGGTTTTCTTCTTTTTTTACGTGTTGGAAAGATTTCCACCACAAGTTTAAATTTTCCTGTCTAATGCCATAAAAATAAGTTTTCATGCTACGTGCTCACCCTATGTATCAACCCATTCTGACTGTTTTCTCTCTTTCTTTTCAGAACCAAATTTTGTTAGCTCTGTCGGATACAATGATTTTGTGCTGTTCTTCTTCCGTGAAACTGCCGTGGAACACATCAACTGCGGCAAGGTAATTCTCACTCCTAATCCTTTTTTTTTTCTTTCTTTTTTTTTTCTTCCCACTAAAATTAGATTAACTTTTGACATTTTGCTCTTTTGCCTGTTCAGTATCTCTTCTTATGAAAAAGTGGTCAAGTACTTGCAAGTTGAAATGAAGAAAATTGTTTAAACTTTTGTGCCATGCATAGTGAGGGAAGTATCATTATTGAAAATTCACTGTAGCAAAACGAATTAAATTATATATATACTTAATTTTTGAGCCAATGCACCTAATAAAACTTTAAAAATTACGAAGTTTTCTGTATCAGTCTGATTTTTGTACAATTGACACTATATCAGAACAACTAACTTGCAGTGTCGTATGTGGTCAGTTTTGGAATATGCTTGTACCCAGGTGTGAGTATTTAATGAGCAAGAGAACCTAGTTAACCTATCAAATTATTATTTAGTTTAAAAATAATCGTCGTAACTATTAGTGGGTATGATTAACCAATGTACTTCAAAAAATTCCGTTTTCCATCAATTGGTAACTTGAAGCAACTTTGCTTCAAAATTATGACTCGAAACATCAATTATTTTTCTTCATTTTTTTCAGGCAATATTCTCCAGAGTTGCTCGAGTATGTAAGAAAGACAAAGGGGGACCGCATCTCTTTGGTGACAGATGGACCACTTTTCTGAAAGCACGCCTTAACTGTTCTGTACCCGGAGACTATCCATTTTACTTCGATGAAATTCGTAAGTGTCATTTTCCTAAAAATTGATTACCTTCCTCTTTTTATATTTTAAAAAGTGATGGTGTTGGGATATTCAGATCCAGCTCTTTCCAAATGGAATAGAGTGCATCATCAATTCTTCTTCCATATTTTCTGAGAAATAGCTCTTGCATTTAATGAATCATAATATGTAAATCTCTACTAGAAATTTCAAGGAAATCTATAATTCTATCTTTTCAATAAATTAAAATATGTGGAGGACTGAAGAAGCTGTTTTGGTATATAAGAGAATTCGTTCTATTGGAGAAATATTAACAAGAGAGAGTGTGGTGGTGTGTAATGAGAAGGGAAAGAAACCCCTAGGTTGATGTTAAATTTTAACTTGCCATCACAAATATTTTAGGTCTCTTGATTTAAAATAATTCGAGGAAAATCATTTTTTTGTAATTTTAGCCTCAGCTAATCCACCAAGGACTCTTTCCCTCCCACTTTTCATGACCACCAGGTGACTTTAGTCAAATTTTAGTAATTTCCTCCTTATTAAATAAAAATTTCGTCTCCTATTTTTCGAAGTTGGTGTGTACATGAGTACGTTCGCCTCATCATTTTTTATTAATTTATATTATATACTCATTTTACTATCTTAATTTTATGATGAACGCATTTTAATTTTTACCTCTGCCTTTTTTTGTTTATTTCTATAGAAGCAACAAGTGACATTATCAAAGGAGAATACAACAGAACAAAAGGTGAATTAATTTATGGAGTTTTCACCACACCACCCAATGCAATTGGAGGCTCAGCTGTCTGTGCGTTTAATTTAACGGATCTCATTGCAACTTTTGATGGCCCATTCAAAGAGCAAAAATCAATGAATTACAATTGGCTTCCCGTGGCAGAGTCTGAGGTACCCAAACCTAGGCCAGGCCAATGTGTAAATGACAGCCGCACTCTACCTGATAGCTCTGTCAACTTTATCAAATCTCACACTCTGATGGACAAGCCTGTGTCAAATCACTTCAGTATGCCAATCCTAATACGCATATCTTCGCAATATCGCTTTACAGCTATTGCTGTTGATCCTCAGGTGGAGACCAAGAATGGCACCAAGTATGATGTATTATTTATTGGCACTGATGATGGTAGGATTCTCAAAGCCATTAACATTTTAATCGGGGATGAAATACGCAGTGAAATAATCGAAGAAATTCAGATATTAAGTCCCGGAAGACCCATCACAAATTTAAAAATTGTTACTGATGAGGCTGGTGAACGTAAACTCTTGATTATTTCTGATTGGGTTGTTGAAACCATATCAGTCCATCGGTGTCACGTCAAAGCATCATGCTTTGATTGCATAAATCTTCAAGATCCTTACTGTGGTTGGGATTACAAGAAAGGCAGATGTGTACCTAATAATCAGTTTACCCTCCAAAATGTTGAATATGGTATACATAAAGATTGCCCGTCACCTGACCGAATTTCGAACAGAATTCCAAACATTCTATCAAGATACCCCTCTCAGAAGGATCTATCCGAGTCGAATTCTATTGATCCTGCTGATCCACCCTGCTCCAAAGCTGAGTGTCCAGTCTGTGATCCAATCAACTGTCCAAGCGAAAGTGCTGTGCGTCCGGCTCAAGATAAGATAGTTATATACACTGCAGACACGCTGGGAGTAGCTGTATTGACCTCTGTGTTAGCAACTTTAGTCGTCGGTTTTGTGGCTGGTTACCTGTGCTCACGCCACTTTCGCCACGACCCCTTCGCAAGCATGTCGTTACACTCAAATCAACCGCTCAACAGACTAAATGAAAGTAGCAATATTGTTCTTGCGGAAGGGGGGAATTCTAACTCATATCTGACCAACAAAAATAATATCAACATGCTCGTGAATGTCTCCAATAATAAAAATAATGACAATAACGAAAAGAATCTGACCCTAGAAAATAATAAAACATTACAGAAAGTTAAGAAAACATACATTTGAAAAACCCTGACCCAAATGTGGCCTCTTTTTTAAAAATGTCGATGCGATGTGCCTTGTTCCATCTGTCAGTAACCTTATTAATCATTGTCAAACTTGTTGTTATGTTACAACCTGCACAATTCTTTTGCATCTTGTGCTCTTTTGATCTCTTTGTGCATTTGGAAAGGACTGACAGAAATCTTTAGGAATATGTAGGCCATCAATTTTCAATGATTGAATACTTTAATCCACCAGTGAGGAGCTCTTTTTGTGCTTACTCAATTGATATTTGAACCAATAAGTCGACAAAGTGAAATACTCAGTGAGAATTTATTTTTTTCTGATATGATGACAATAGATGGTCTAAAATCTTGCAAAGAATTTTAACCTCTATGGGTATGTATCTATACGGAAGAGTTGGTAGCTCCTCCAGTTGAATGATATCAAGTAACTTTTTTAAAGTGGATTGAGAATTGTTGCATGATGCTTTTCGAGCTGCTGAAAAAAATAGCCCTGTTGAAAAGCTTGAACAGAAATTCTCTCCCCCCCTTTATTTTGCAACGTGAAACATGGCGGCCTTTTCTTCGCTAGCTTTTAAAGGAACCTAATTCTGTCAATGGGCAGGAACCAGTGCTATCCCTTACTGACCCCTGTATACCTTGCGATTGTGCAACTATTTGTGTTCTGTAGATTGAGTTGCTGATTCAGTCGGGTCGGAAGTCAATGTGACTGAGACTAGGTATGGAATGCTTAATTTGAGCATAAGTTTCAAAGCGAATCAAAAGTTGGTGGTTATTTTGTCAAATCATGCTCTTTTTGACTAACTTAAAAATTTAGTCAAAAGAACCTGAAATGAAATACACAACAGAAATCCTTTCTTTTTTTTTGCTGCTCATGTTTTTGTGGAGCTTAGTCTTTGGAGTAATAAGTCAGCTCTTGATGGTTAGAAGAACAGTATATCTTGTGAAATAGATATTCCTTGTTTAATAGAATTTTGTCAAGAAAGTTTCATTGAAAATTCGGTATACTTTGTACCTCTGTTCATTGTGGAATGTTCGAGATTTTATTTTTTTATCAACTCTCAAGAAAGGGTGTATATTTTGACTATGCTTTTTCAGAGCTGATCAATTGCAAATTGTTTTCATTTCGTTGTAATATTTTGTATAATAGGTCACACTTATGTGAGCCTCAAAGATTTTAGCGAAGAGCTAATGAAAAAAAAGGATATGGACTATCAGGAGTTTGCATTGAAATCGCTGCCGCTGAATTGCAACCTGGTAGAGTTCTCATTCTGTCAAGAGTAAAAAATATGTGTGGCATTGCGCTCTCTCAGCCATTGTGCAATGTTTAGCTTTTCTAGTCCCAGGTTTAAGCAGTATTAGACAGAGTTTGCTCAAACGAAATTTGGTGGCTCAGATCATCAAGTTTTATTTTTAATTTTATCACTTTTGTAAATTCTTGTAAAGCTATGTTTCTTAAAAATCAAATTACGATTACTCAGCATAGATATCAAAGTTTTGTTCGTTACATTACTTTGAACTTTAATTAAAGTCCCCTCCCCCTAATTTTTTTTTTCATTCTGTTTCCCAAGAAGAGCTGCTTCCAAGTTATTTAATCTTACTTTCTGAAGTTCCCACTTTCCCAATGAAGCAAAGAAAATCCTTATTTTAGAGAATTCATAAAGCTCTCTATAGATTCTTTGGATCTTTGCCTAAAACTCCCTCTTTTTATTTATCAGTATTTTTTTCCCTGCAATCGACACTCAATCAGTCTCCATATTCCTTATTCAGATGATTAATTTTTCTTGCTCTAATCAGCCGATATTTCCACCTTCAGAAGAATCAGTAAGTACCAATTTTCTCCTGAAGAAAAGTTTATGAAGTAGAAGTCAGTTATACAGCAGGACTGTTTATCTGATCCAAAGCCTCTAAATTTTTCATTTTCGTAGCATTAACTTTAATACCTTACACTTTTTGTCTATGTGCCTTTAATCGTAAATTTGTGACTGACTTTATTTGTACCATTTGTAATTATATTACTCTGTAATTGATAAGTGACAAAAAACACATAAGCTTGTTAATAGTTAACCAAGATCTATTTTTTTGTTATCCTCTGTTTATATTGTACATTTTGTATTCATAGAAGATTTTCATTTTTTTATTGTATTTATTTTTGTGTATCTATGTACAATTACTTTTTGTATTTTAACTTGTACATAAAAATGTGATTAAATTCTGATCACAACTAAACATCAGTGAAAAAGTGTAAACCGTCCATTCTTGTAATTAGGTTAAGCTCCTAAATCTTTTGTGTTCCCTCACTGTTCTTTTTTTATCTCATCAGTATTTTCTTTATCCGTAAAATTTTATGGTGAGAAATAAGTTAAAATGTGCTTTGATAGAGGCAAAAATTTTTTTAGCTGGTGCCATCAACCCAGTGTATATCGTATGTTGATAAGCTTAGTAATCCTCATGCTCTGGCTTTTGTCACTTACTAAAAGAAATTTTGGCCCATCATGTTTTGCTCCCTCTTTGATCGTATCTTAAAGCCTTGTCATTGTCCAAGTGTTACTTACTTGTCTTAATATTCGTGAGCGAGAAAACATAATTTGATTGATTGCTTGGTGGAGAGCAATATTCAACTCAGTTGTTTTTGAACCAGAGCACGTGCTCACATTTCCAAAAGTTAATCAGTTTTTTCTCTGGTTCCATTTTTGCAAAAATCACAGAAATTTTCGGACGATTTTGTCTCTTGATTCTTTTTTTATCGAATCAAAAATTGCAAAACATTTTGAAATCAAGGAATGGATCAATGCCCCTCTGCAAGAAATGGATTCAACTAAATTCTTAAATCACAATAATGCAGTATAAGTCATATTGCCTGAATAGAGCTACAACTTTTTATTGTAGCGGGAGGGAGTGAGACACATCTAGCACTTTTGAATTGCCACATTTCATTCAAGTTTAAGTACAAAAAGGAGGTCTGATATTTAATGGAATTGGCCTTCTCCATGCCTTTATCTTGCAGATGTCTAATGATTGTTAGGGAAAAACAATAAGGCTCTGAAAACTTTTTCTTCCGGATTCTCTTTGGGTCCTGAGTATTGGTTTTTAAATTTTCCCAACTACATGTTTGAAAAATACCAAAAAATTCAAACAAGTTTCTATCTTTTAAGAACAATCAGAAAGTTTCCCTACCAAGTATTTTTCCTCAAAAGCTTACTAGCTATTTTATGAAGATATTACATACTTTCCAGTAACTATGCCCCTACAATTTCTTTATCACCAGAATTTTTAAGAAAAAGAAGTAAATATGTTAGAAATTGAAATGAAATTGGTAGTTCTCCCCCCCCCCCCCAAAAAAAAAAGTTTATTTGTTAATTATTTGTTACACATTTGATCTGAATTGTTAAAAATCCTAAAAATTCTATGAACATAAAAATAAGAAGCGCTGATAGTCTGTGCTTATGTTGGTTTCCTTTTTAAATTTTGTGTTTACATTGTTTTTGTAGTTTTAAGCGAGCTAGACAATTGTAAAAGTTTTTATTGTTAATGAGATCAACAATATCTATTTTTTTAAAGTTTTAATGTATAATTTTGTAAAAATCTTTGTATAGTAGGTGTAGTGTAAGGACTCAGAGTTAAATTTTCCTCACGTTGTTCGTAAATCTTCAGACATTTTTAGTACACAAAGGAGAAATATTAAATAATTTCACCCCCATGAAAATCAATTTTATTCATAATTTTCTTACTGAAAGCTTTAAAAAACGCAATTTTTTGTTCTTTGGCCCACATTGAATCAAAGGTTGTTGCAGATAAAGGCGTTACGCAACATTTTTAATTTATTATGAGAAAGAGTTGAGAAGGTTTCAAAATTGGTCACAGTCATTGTGAAATAGTGAAGGACAGCAAGCCGAACGAGAAGAGCATAATATTTGTTTATTTCTGGAAGGAACTTTGTAATATTTATCTTTCACAATTTTGGCTTTAATGTTTCAAAAATGTTCCCGAATGCCTTCAGCTACATCACCTTTGCATTCAGTATTGAGAAATACAAACCAATTATCTTTAAGGGAAGTGTAATTAATTCAAGCATAATTTTCAAGTCTAAGAATGACAAAGCAAAATGTGAACATCGTATTTCTGTTCATATTTGAGGAGTGTAAAAAAGTAGTTTTTATTTTCAATTTCCATGATTGCAACGGTTTATTCCCATCTTCTGACTGTCTTGCAATAACTCTCTCAGCGAAGACTTGTATAAGATTGGCTTAATGTATTTTACTTTTGAACGTATTTTACTAGCTGTTGATTTTTATACTTTTTCACTCAAAATTAGTATGGTTTTATTATGTTTTCTGTCTTCTTCATCTACAATCAAGAGAAAAGAAAAAAATTGTACGTCTGTGATTTAATTTTAGAAATTTTATATTTTCTTTCTCTGTATCTAATCCAGTAATCTTATGTTGTTATCAAAACTGTCTTACAAATTTTGGATCAAATAGAATAGTCCCATGTACTAAAATATGTATCATTCAAATAATAACTGCGGATCAAACTACGTTTGCTCCAATTGACTAATACGTACCTCAATGAAATTGATTCTTCAGATTATGAATAAATCTCACTCTGCAAACATAATGTAACTCAAAATAGACTTATTTGAGCAAGAAGGATCCTCAAGTATGTATAGGGTTACAAATCAAATTGTCCTGTTTTGCTGAATGTGGTTCAGATGTTTTAGTGATTAATGTGGCTTGAATTCACTCATATGGTGATAGTAGATGTAAGAAGGGTTCAATCAACTTCTTCAATAAGAAAGTGGACCTCCATCAAGCATTCGTTAAATTCAACTAAGCTCACTGAATGTTTATTCTTAAATGGAAATTTTTCCTGATTATCCCATACTGCCAATCAAGGAACTCTTGTTTTAGTCAAACGCAGGTCTTTACAATTTTCTTTCAAATTCCTGTAATGATATGAAATTAAAGAAGATTATTGTCAAAGTTTCTTCCAGCTTTCATAATTGATTTTTAACACAGAACCTTTCTTGCATCCTTAGTATCATTCTCATTTGTTAGTTTCAGTAATCTGTTCCAAGGATGAGAAGCTTCAATACATTGTGCCTTAACTTAAAAGCAATCCTGACTTTTTCTGCACTAAGTGAACTTGATGAACAGTTGAACAGTTTCTTTGATTTGTAAGTCATTGGTGATAACAATTTCAAAACCAGATGCATTGGTACATGATGACACATTGTAACGTTAATACCAATGTAATAATACTCATGTAAATGTGTTTTGATAAAATAATTTATTTATTTTTATAATTATGTATTGCGATTCCAACAAATAAACTCTGTTCAAAAGAATAATCTTTCTTTTCATTGGTGTTCTCTCCCTATTGATTTTGCTCTCATAAAAATTGTATGAATGACATGAAATACCTAGAAATGTAGGAAGGTTTTCATTACTGAGAAATAACTTTTTGTCGTCAAATTTTATAATTCCAAGGAAGGGATCAGCAAGATACCTATCTAATGAATGTCATCATTGTTTAAGACGATAATTTTTGATTTGTACAAAACCAAAAATATTGAAGTGAAACAGACAGGAAACCAAGGTAACAAACTGAGCTAATAATTTAATTAAAGAAAACTGGAACTTAAAAGACTCAAAACTCACAAAAATTAAACTAAATCCTAAGCTGAATTCCTGCCTATTCCCTCCTTAGGAATTCAGGCTTCATGAAGGAGATGGGGAGCCCCAAGACACGTAGGCAATTTTAATTTAATTTTTGTGAGTTTGAGTTTTTTAATTTCAGGTTTTCTTTATTTCACTATTTGATATATTTGTAAGAGATGATAAGTGCCATCAGGAATTATCAGGCCTTCACAATGATTTCAGTTTATGGTAAAATTTTCATGAAAAGATGTAACCTCTGGCTGCGTTTGGCCGTAAAGCTGATCCGCTATTGGAAGATACGTCTCCTTTGACAGATCACAATATAAGAAGATTAAAAAAATTATGACCTAGAAAATATGCGGAAAATTCATAAATGAACAAGAGAAAAGAAATTAAGGAGTAAAGAAAGGTGTTTGCACACATGTTAGTGGTGAACAGAGGTCCAGGAACCATAAAACGGAAATAAGTCCCTAGAGGTGCCTGAGTCTACTACTGCAATACCAGGAAATTGATATTTTGGGTTTTTTTTTGGTTTGTTGAGTTCAGGTTTTGTGTCCTCAGCTCAAGATTTTCAAGAGCAGGATGAGAAAAATTGGAACATACTGGTTCGTGAAACTGGAATGAATGACTGTTATTTCGCTCACTAGTAGGCATTTTGATTAAATAAAGAGCAGACCTATGCTAAGTCGCTATTATGCGAAAAAATGCCCTCTATGTCGTAAACTTAGCGTTGAGGCATTGAGAATTTTCTCGATTGTAGTTTTTAAAAAGGGGACGATAGGCGTCCTTAAGCAAGGAAATCAAAAGTCAAAATATCTACATAAAATCACTTTATTGAATATAATATAGTGCTAAAAAAAAAAAAAAAAAATTATGTCACAAATTTTTTAAAAAGATGCATAGATTTAAAATTGGACCAAGTAGAAATTCTAGCTATGAGGAACCATATGGGTGAATGGAGGCTGTAATAGCTTAAATAGGTTCTGAAAATTCGGATAACTTTGATCGCTGTGCTGCTTTAAATAGGTAAGACAAATAAAAATTAGAAACAGAATTCGTTTTATTCCTGCGCAAAACAATTAAGAACTTTTAACTGGAGGCTTAAGGTGTATCTACAGCTGCGTGAAGTAAGAAATTTCTCCGCGCAGGGGGCGCCACCGCTGTGTTTTAGAGTCCGTACAGCACCACGTGAGTTCTTGAGCTTTTATAAAAGTTGAAGGAATTTCTGTTTAAATCGAAGATAAATAAGTTCTAGCTATAACATTCTTCTTTCTATTGACCCTAAAAACAACGTGAAAAGTCATTTCTGAAGCTCTGCAATTTGATCCCAGAAAAAAGTAGGGTTAAGCATGATGACCTTGATGCAACCAATCGCGCTTGATCGCTCTCAGCAGTTGGCAGATATCTCTCTCCCACCGTGAGCTGTCTCTCTCGCACTTACAGATATCCCGTAAGAGAAACTGGGATCAATTTACAGCTTTTATTATTAGACTTTCAAAGCTCGCGTTTGTTTCTAAGGATTCCAGACGTATGCTGCTAGAACTTATGAGTCTTAGAATTTAAGATACCTATTGTGATATTTAAATAATCACTGATTTCGGAGTCGGATTTTAGCAGCGCGACGTGGTGGATTTTTTCGGAACTACAGCTGAAGATTAACCTGGGGAAATTAGTTCACAAAAACTCGAAACGATTTAGGTGCTTGTATACTTAATTTCGCAAATGTCCGTGCTGAATCTGCAAAACTGAAGGCGCGAGATTTAAACTCGCGATGCCCCGCAGTTTCGCTCTGTGTTGCAAATGAGGTGTCGCTCACATTCGGGAAATAAGTCAGAAACCGAGGCCGGATTACGTCTTTCGTATCATCGATTGTGGTACTCACATAACCCTTGAAGTAATGAATAAGACAAACGGAAACAAACATAATATGTAAATAATATGTAAATAGAGCAAAGAAAAGGACGTGCGTTGATGACGGCGCAGAGATACAACTATTCGTGCTTGATGGATGTCCGTGGTGCATGTGCAAAATTGAAGGCGCGATAGCGCGAGACGTGAACTCGCAATACCTGTATGCTGCTAATGAAGTGTCGCTCACACTGGAAAAAAAACACATTGGATTTAGAGTCCAGGCTCTTAAAAACATCGACAAGAAAAAGTACTCTTGATCCAATGAGAATCTAGCTTAAATCAAGAACCAAGCCTCTTAATTTAAGCGGATTTCGTTTTGATTCAAGCAAAAATCCGATTGAATCAAGAGTATTTTTTCTTGTCAATGTTTTCAAGAGTCTAGACTCCAGATCAAATGTGTTTTTTTTCCAGTGCAGATTCGGGAGAAAAGTTAAAAAGAGGCCCGAATACGTCTTTTCTGTCTGCGGCTTTGTTGCTACTCGATTTTTTCTTTTGTTTTCTAGGTTCATGTCCGATTCTTTTTTGGGATGGATTTGCGTTGCGTGAACCGGCCCCATACAATCCGCTGAGCACGTTTTTTTAAGGAAGCCCCGGGTCAATTTGACCCGGCTTAGGCATCCAAAGAAAATTGAAAATACCATTGAAATGATTGCACCTTGCTGAAGCGAGGGCTTGTTCGGAAAAACTCAGGATCCAACATTGAATTCGAAAGAGGCCATTCAGTCAGTGAATTTCATTAAAAAAACGAGGGGCCTGAGGCTGCCACGCGGCCGCCAACCACTAAGAAGAACTACACGTAAAAAATAAAAAATAGTAGAACAACCACGTTCAAGTTATGGATGAGAAGAATGGATTCAGAAGCCGACGGGTGCACGCGAAAAAAATCTCTGATTGCAACGTTATACACCCTTTTACACGTTTTATTTTTGAAAGCCGTTTTTAAAAAGGTACACACACTTTTTCTGAAGGTTCCCACGAATTTTTCTTCAATGATCTCAAATGTCAGCATCGAAAATTTTGACGAGATATTTTCGTTCATTCCATTTTCTTTTTATGTAACAAGAAAAATCAAATATCATCTAAGTTTCTGAGTCGTTACAGTGAGGATACATATTTACCCTTTAATTATTGTAAAAACCGGGCAGGAGCCGTTACAAGAAGTGACACGTGGTCGTAGCTTTACGGCAATTTTAGCGTCGCGCAAACCAGGGAAGGGAGCGCGGTGTCGAGTCATCTTTACAGTGAGATGCACCTTCAATCTAGTTAGCGGCAATGTGCCTATATTCGTAGTCGAATAGTTATCGCAAATGACTCTCGCATCGCGTTTGGTGCAATGCGAGAAGTATTCACGCAGTCTTGTAGGCGCTTGTAAGCGTTTGACGCCGACCGCACTGTTTGGCGCAATGCGTGAAGTATCTCTTCAGTTCTGCAGGCGCTGATATGAGTTTAATACCGACCGCACCGTGTTTGGCGCGATTATCCGAACCCGCGTTAGGCTAATCGGGGCATCGAGCAATGGGGCTTCAAAGGCCCATGTCGTGTTCTAACGCCGCACGAGCATTCCTACGTCGCCCGTTTCTCCGGATAAAATATTTTTTCTGAGAAAGTTAGGAAAGTTCTCTACGTTCGCTTTTGTAGATTGAATGGACCATTAAACAAGGCTTTTTCAGTACTCTGATACATGATTCCTCACCAGAATTTCACGCAGAACACGATTTGCTCAACGAAAACTGCTGAAACCAACTTCCAGCTAGGATAGACGTTTTTATTGTTCATTGGTTACGGGAAATTTGAATTTCCCGGTCACGAGAAGAAAAACCCCTACGCGAGTCAAATTGCGCCCTACGACGAATTTCGTGACACAAAAGTTTGGTTAATATGGGAAGTAAAACACAGAGTAACCCTATAGCCTGACAATTTCAAAAGAAAATGTCAGCTAGTTTTCTTGAAGAAATTGAATGAAAAACGAGTGGTGGATACAAACGTCGCAATCGGAGGAGTGTATTTTCCCAGTCTCTTCATTCTTTTCTTTGCTAAGTACACCGCAAACTGTACCAAAATAATCACAAAATTTGTGATAGTTTTGTGTTTCACTCTCTACATTAGCCAAAATTAACACAAGAACACAAAAACTTTTATCAGTGCAGTTTCCTGTGCTTTACTGCTTTCTAGGTGCTTTTTTGGAGCATAAAAATTTCTATCTGCAGTACTACATAGTGGATGTAATTTTAAACCTATCTAGTGTCTTACAGTCAAAAAGAACAATTAAATCTTAAACACACTAAATCTATCACCATTTACTTCCGAATTAATTTTTTCACAAACAAGTATTTTTTAAAATGTCTCAATTGTCTGATTACAGCAACATTCTCAAAGTCTTCTACAACCATCTCCGCAACGAAAACGATCAAACTTAAAAGTAGACCTAAAACAAGACTCAAAAACGGTAGCTGTAAGTCGTTAAAACCGTAAGGCCTCGGCTCATCTTCTTTCGTAGGTGGAGGGGCAACCTCTGGTTGGTCGATAAATTGAATGTGCTCGAACGTTTTACCGACTTGACCGGTTTCCAGAAATTGCGCAGCTTTCCGATTGAAGGCGTCGAACCAAAACGAGTTTTTCATGAAAGTGAAAAAGTAAGAATTCGATTTCAGGCACTCTGGAACCAAATGGTACTCAACTTTCTCCTTGGCAGGCCATTTGGTAAGGATGATACTGTTTCCTAAACGACCGAGGGAACGCGGTAGAGAAACTAAAAACGCATCCTCTTCCATGATCG